ACTCACTTTTTTGTAAAAGCCACTTACCTGCCTGTGCTTTAGGATCTTTTATAAATTCTTATCCTCCTCTCTCATTCCTTTCCCTTCCTGGTAGGTCTTTGCAATAGTCTCTGGCTTAAACTTCCCACTCAAGCTCTTAAATAACTTCTTTTGTCTTGCTACTAACTTAGGGGTTGGCAAACTACTGCCCAGGAGTCAAATCTTGCCCACTGACTGTTTTTGCATGGCTTGAGAGTTAAGAAGAGTTTTTACATTTTTAAATAGTTGAAAAAAATCAAAAGAAAAACAATACTTCATGAAAATCATATGAAATTCACATACCAATGTCCATAAATGAAATTCCATTGGAATGGAATGCCAAATGGCATGCCAATTTGTTCATTATCATCTATGGCTGTGTTTGTGATACATTGGCAAAGGGCAGTAGTTGTGAGGGAGAGCTTACAGTCCACAAATTCCACAAAATATTTCTATCTATCTCTTAACATAAAAGTTCGCTAAGCCCTGTTCTAAGCTTTTGGACAAGCATACTTGTGACTCGATATGCCTTTGGGAAAGCTGTCAGAATCAAAACAGAGTTGTTTATGCCATTCCCTGACAAAGTGGGGTCAGGACACCATACAAGAGGGGCTCTCATGCACATATGCCTATGATCAAAACTACTGCAAGGAGGCCGGGTGTGGTGGCTCACGCCTGTAACCCTAGTTACTCTGGGAGGCCGAGGAGGGTGGATTGCTCAAGGTCAGGAGTTCAAAACCAGCCTGAGCAAGAGCGAGACCAGTCTCTAAACAGAAAGAAATTAATTGGCCAACTAACATATATAGAAAAAATTAGCCGGGCATGGTGGTGCATGCCTGTAGTCCCAGCTACTTGGGAGGCTGAGGCAGTAGGATTGCTTGAGCCCAGGAGTTTGAGGTTGCTGTGAACTAGGCTGGCACCATGGCACTCACTCTAGCCTGGGCAACAAAGCGAGACTCTGTCTCAGAAAAAAAAAAAACAAAAAAAAAAACCTACTGCAAGGACTCTCTGAAAATCACAATATTGCACAAAAGCCACCACAACCTTACACAAAGAATGCTTTTAAAAGGACATCTGCCCAGCAACTGTCTATTCAACCTTGGATTGATGCCACCCTTGTTATTGGTCTCTGTAGCCAAGGATGACAGTTTCAAAACAACTTATTGTAACTTTCTTCATTTTGCCTTTAAAAACCCTTACCTTCCTCTGCCTCCCTGGGTATCCCCGTGGAGCCCCATGCAGTGCCATGGCACTCATGTTCCCAGATCCCAGTCCTTCCGCTTGCTCCCAAGTAAACTCAATATCTTTGGGGAATCTCTCCATTATTATTTTAGGTTGACACCTTTCCCTCTTCCCAGGACAGTGAAGCCTTTTTCTCATTCAAAACCCTTTTTTCCCAATCCTTACCTGATTATCCCACCTAGTCATATAATTCTCGTCACCATCCCTCAGTGTTAGTTAATATAGCTCAACACAGCTGTAATTAACGTGCAATTATTATATTTCCAAAATATCTTGATGTCAATTCCGCACGAAGAGCAGTTGAGTTGCCCTATGTGTGCCACTCATGACAGAAGCCCCTTTTTTATATTTTAAAAGTATCTTGAATATGAGTTTACTGTTTTGTCTATATCATCATGAATACCCCAAAGGTTAGGACTGGTTCCTTCCAAATCTTGTAGTTCCCTTCACACACAGAGCAGTGCTCACATTTGGGAGTCAGACAAATCTGAGTTTGTATTTCAGCTCCACCGTTCACCAGCTGAGCAAATGATGTAAATGTCTTGAATCTCTTCATCTGTAGAATGGATTTGTTATGGGGATTAACAGATGAGGTATGATAGGGTGTAAGAGTCAGGAAGGGCTCCACAACAGTAATATTTATCAGTGAATAATTTCTTTGTTTTTGTTTTTTTGTAAAGACAAGTCCTTGCTATGTTGTCCATGTTGGTCTTGAACTCGTGTCCTCCAGTGATCCTCCTGCCTTGGCCTCCAAAAGTGCTGGGATTACAGACATGAACCACCATGCCCAGCCACTAGTGGATAATTTATTTGTCATATGAAGATAGCACTTTTTGCCCTTAATGAAACTCCTAGTAATGTAGTGAGAATTAAAAGAAGTAGTAAGTCAGTAGAAATGAAACTTCATGGTTCAGTTGGATCCCTGAAAAGATTAGCTGGAGAAGTTCAAGGCCTCAAATGAGATATTAGACTAATGAGGCTTTAAGCAAATGTAACAAACACTTCTTGGTTACTTACTGAGCTCAGCACTACCTAGGTCAAGCCTCATGTGGATGTGAAGGACAGAAGACCACGTCTATACTGGAGATTTTTATCCAAATTGGGGGTGGGGGGAAAGGATAGAGACATGAGCTATGCTCTTACTTGTCCATAATGTTTCTCTTCTCTCTCAGGATGGATGATTCAGAGTCAGCAACTCACATAAAAAATATTGCACATGGAAAGTATTACTGTTATTCTGTGGGGAAATAAGTTTCTAAGTGCAGCAATCTGAAATTAATAACTTTCTCTGTGGAAACTCTCTTGACAACATCTCAAGATGAAGCCAAAGAGCACAATTTTTATGGCCTTGGATTATCTTCTCTGTCTGCTTGGCTTGTACCAGGCATGGATCTGCGAGCCAGAAATTCAGTTTTCCCCTTTATTGTACAATTTGCTTGCCAACTGGAGGCCTTATATAGTGGTGACTCAATTTCTCAATTCTCCAATGCATCCACTCATTGAATCAAGGCAAATCTCAATTTACTCATTAAAGGCTTTGGGGAACTCAAGAAAAAAAAAAAAAAGACCAAAGTTTTTATTGTCATTACAAAACATTTTGGTTGAAGACATCAGAAAAGAAATAGGAAAGAGAAACTGGAAGTTGATTAACTTTCTTTTTCTTTTGATAGAAAATATTTCTGTGAGAATGCCCATTATTTATAGTATGATAAATATTTGTGCTCACGTGCAGGAAGCCTACTGATACAGAGGAAGAAAGTAACCTAGGAAAGTAGACGGAAAGGGTAGCAACCACTTTTCTGCAAAGCCACAGTGCTGCAGACATGCGTGAAGATGGCAGTTGTTGCTTCAACAGCCATATGTGGCAAGACATATTCTTTTTTATTCTTTCTTACACATAAGTTTAGACAATCTGGACAAAGAAGTCTGGATTTCTACTTTGCTGATTTTTTTTTTAATTTCAAATTAGCCTCCCCTCCCACTTATATAAGACCACATGGCAGGACATTATGTTTGTTTGACTCACCGTAACTTATTACATTTAAAGGTTGTTTTTCTGGATGAAAAACAACTGAAGGACAGAATAAGGAGCCTCTCGGAGTAAGGAGACCTTTCAAATTTGTCATGTTGCTGGATTTGTTCACTTTCTCAGCACGTAAACATGTGAGGCCAACACTTGGAAACAGTGACAGATATGTAGGAGTCCGGATATTGAGAGAGAACTCAGTATCCAATAGTTAGTTTATTAATGATAAATATCTATTAATAGAAGTTCTATTGATTACAATTCTCTCCTGCATATGGAAGCCTTGGCGGGGGGGTTCAAAACACAGCTATGTTTAAAAATATTTAATATATAGTTAACTAGAAAGTTAGAAGATAAGACAATAATCATCACTACCAACTTGGAAAGGCAATCGAGAAGAAATGGGAATTGCAAGAAGCTCCAAAGATGGAGGGTTTTTGTGGGTTGTTTTTTTTCCCTTTCTGTTGAACATGTGGGTAGAAGCAATTGCAGATGGCTGGGTGTAACAGAAAGAAACAGACCTTGCATGCCTGCTGTACTGTGCTAGATGCTGTGGGTGATAATCAAAGGATTTAAAAGACAAATACTCTTGTCTTCACAAAGCTTATAATTTAGTTGCATTGACAGTGGTTCAGAAAGCCGGCTGAACATGCTGGCATTCCAGCTTTACCCCTTACTAGCTCTGGGTCACTGGGTGAAATATTTAATCTCTTCAGGCATAACTTCCCTCATTCTGAATGCTAATACTCCCGTCTCCTGTGTGGCAGCTATGCCAGCCTCCTTTCATTTCTTCAAGCTCTTTGTCACCGCCTTTGCACATGTTCCTGCTGCCTGGAAAGCTCTTGGCATGGCTCTGTCCTTTAAGTTTGGACTTTCATGTCACCTCCTCAGAGAGCTTTATTTTAGAAAATAGGGTTTCTGTATCCGCAGACGATGCTATTAAAATTCTAAAAGACTGCATGTTCTTAATAAGGGGTAATTTTGAGGTTAAAAAAATTAATAAAGAAAAGAAAAAGAAAAAAATTAATAAAGAAAAAAAAATAAAGGACTGCATAATCACGAAGATGCTAGTTTAATCATCCACCCTAAGTAGGATTTGAGATCTAAGGAGTTTCTCCAGGATTTATCAGGGTCAGCATGCTTTTTCTGTAAAGAGTCAGACAGCAAGTATTTTAGGGTTTTCAGGCCACCCTAAACAAATGGGAGTGGCTGTGTTCCAATAAAACTTTATTTATGGACACTGAAACCTGAATTTCATACGCTTTTCATGGTCACGACGAGGGACTGGATTTGGCCCCCACCCTGTGGTTGGCTGACCCCTGCTTTACGAGGACGGCTGACAGGAGGGGAGTGGATGTGAGCAGCGATTCTGTGGCCAGACACCAGGGATCAGATCAATCCTCAGCCTCCCAGGTTGCCGCCGACCTCTAGCATGGGGCTGTGGTCCCTGTGTCAGGGGGCTGTGACAAGGGTTGGAAACGCGCAGGTGAAGCTCGGGGCTTGGCACCAGGTCCTCCTCACCAGCGTCACCCTGTCTGTGAGATGGCCTCTTAGTAATGCGTTTTTAGTGGAGTCGAACCCGACCCTGTAGCCCCGGAGGCGCGGGGCCGAGGCCGACTGCACCCGGGCCGGGCACTGCGGCGGCGGCGGCGGCGGCGGCGGCGCAGGGCGAGGCCGGGCCGGGCAGGGCGGCGCGACTCAGGGGCGGGGCGGCGGCGCAGCGTCGTCGTCGTAGTCGTCGTCCCCGCCTCCTCTCCAGGGCCCGCGTCGGAGCCTCAGCGGCGGCGGCGGTTACAGCCGAAGGAGTGCGTTTGGCCCGGGCGCGGCGGCGGCCATCGAGACCCGCCCGAGGCCCGTCTCCCTCAGCCTCGCGGCGCTCCCAGGTTGCAGCGCGCGCCCCTCCAGCTCGTTCGCTCGCCCTCTCCCTGCGGCCGGCTGCGCCATGGCGTTGGCGTTGGCGGCGCTGGCGGCTGTCGAGCCGGCCTGCGGCAGCCGGTACCAGCAGGTAAGTAAGCAGCGCCCGGGTCCCGCCCCGGACCCCGAACCCCGGCCCTGCCCTCCCCGCCAGCCGCCTCAGGCCTCCCGCGCCGGCCCGCGGCCAGCTCGACGCTGGGGCCTGGCAGGCCGCGCGGGGCCTGGGCGGGCCGGGCTGGCCCCGGGCTGGGATTCCAGGACGCCGCGGGCCGGGCCCGCCCCTCGCGACCCCGGGCGGGACCCGGGCGGGGGAAAAACCTCCTCCCGGCCTGGTGTTTCTCCCGTTTCCTAGGGCGGGCGGGTCCCTGAGTCAGAACCCGCGACCCTCTTGAGGGCATTCGTTTTTGTTTTTTCCACCTTTGGTTTGATGTCATCGGAAAGAAAGAAACAAAAAAAGAAAGCCTGAAAATGGAAGGGGAAACTGGGTGGAGGGAAGAGATTAAAATCGCTGCTAATGCAGCCGACAGCTCCCCGCCGCGAGATACGATTACTCAGGGTTTCAGCGCCTGGTCTGGTTGTGGAAACCCATCCCCCTTGCCTCTGTTTTAAGACAAAAGTCAAAAATGAAGCGAGAGAGGAGCCTGCAGTTTGCAGAAGATTTGGGAAAGGCGGTGATGTTTGGCGGCGGTGTTGCCCCCAAATGTAGAGCTACAGCGAAGGCTGCAGGGCGTGTGCCTGGGTGTATTTTATTTTATTTTATTATTTTTTTATACCAGAATTTCAGCATGGTGGCCTGGGTGTATTTTAAATGCTCAGAAGTGACGTTTTAAGATATTTCATGGCATTGCTGGGAAGGAAATGCATAGAGGATGATTGGATTATTATCTCTGGTATGATATATAAATTTAGGCCCCAGGGAAAAGAGCTGCTTGTTTTACTCTCCGTCTGTAGCTGAGTTCCCCCGGAAATGTAGAGAGACCTTTTGCAGGGTTTTTAGAGGTATTAATCTAACACATTGTAATTGTGGGAATGGAGCCAGATGTAACTGATGTTAATTGGAACCGCAAATAACTGCTTGTGTTCTGTCATGTTTCAGATTCTTACGGTATGATTTGCATACAAATGTCAGTCCTGTTTATGAAATCAAATGGCCTATCTTAGATGATGTACAGTTTTATATTTTAAAAGTGAGGAAAACGAATGCGATTAAAACATGTAGATTAACCCTGGAGCGCCCAGTTACTGGTTTGTTTTGCTGTCAGCCGTGTGTTGTAATCCATCCTACCCCTTCCCGCTGGGACTCCCGAAATGACTAGTTAAGAATTTAGCTTCTTGGTTTCATAAACACGCCCCACATTGTGGCAATGCAGTTAATCATTAGATCTCTTTACAGCCTGGGGTCTAGCACATGCTTTTTTTTTTTTTTTTTTTTTGTATGACATCGGGCAAGACTTGGGGTTCTTCCCTGCTTTAGTAAAATTCGAATGACAGATGTCACTTAACTGTGACAGCGGTGTTTGCAAATCGCTTGTACTGTATAGTGTCATCTGATTCATTCTTTTCATCCTGACTTGGATAAGGCAAACAAGCAAAGGAGCTGTGGTTTTTTCTTTGTACTGCCATCTTCTTGAGCTTTTAGGTAATGCTGATAATACTGCTAGAATACAAAAAATTTCCTGGAGTATGAAAATTGTATATTCCTTAGTGTAGTATTGAATAGCTTTTAATTATGTAGAATTGAGGTATGTCAGGGATGGGCCGTCTTTATTTCATTCTTTTTTAAATAATTATTTTGAAGAAATAATCTTCAAGAAAGAATGAAAAATAGTCTTCCTAGAAAAACTGTAAAACATTTAGGAAAAAAACTTCTCCAAACAAAAACCGATCAAAAAACTATCACCCATAGATAATCAAAGTTAACATTTTGATGTGCATTGTGGGTTTATAGCTATGCAAATATACACAGGTATAGATCAGTATACATCTGTACAGATAAGGAAAGCTAATATTGATTTACTGTTCACCAATCCCAGTACTAAGTGGTTTACATCCATTTTTTTTCATTTAATCTTTACAAAACTCTTATGAGTCAGGGTTTGTTCATCATTGTATAGATAGATGGCAAAGTCACGATTCAAAGAGGCTCAGTAACTTGTCCAAGGTCACAAAGCTGCTAAGTAGAGATTATAAGGATATACACACACTTATACTCACCTACTTAAAACACAGGCTCACAAATACAGACATGCATTAGCAGTTACATACACATGCATATGTATTATTTTATGCACCCATATATACATATGGGTGCATAAAATATAGGTACATCTTGGTACACTTGTCCAATTCTATGAGCCCCTGATTATACTTGCACATACTTTTGCACATATGTCCAGTGTATCATATTCTTAGGCATATGTGCATTGCAAATTTGCGTATATGTATATTGTGCACATGTATGTACAAAGGGACAAAATCTAGATATGTAATTAAATGAGTTCATATTGGAATACTGTTTTGTAATGTTCATCACATAATATGTTATGAATATCTTTCCATGCTTGATCAGAGAATATGCATATTTAAAAAAAGACTTTTGAATTATAGAATGTTGGTGAATTGTCCAGGCAACTTGATAGGAGCATGATAGTATGGTCGTCACAAAAGGCTATTCTGACTTGTTTGACCTGGTTAATCAAATTGAGCTAGTCTTCTAGCCAAGTAAATGTAACAGAAAGCTGTATGATTCATTCATAAATGCAAACACAATTTTGTCTTTTTTGTTTGTTTGTTCTTTTTTTTTTTTTTTTGAGACAGAGTCTTGCTTTGTTGCCCAGGCTAGAGTGAGTGCCATGGCATCAGCCTAGCTCACAGCAACCTCAAAATCCTGAGCTAAAGCAATCCTACTGCCTCAGCCTCCCGAGTGGCTGGGACTACAGGCATGTGCCATCATGCCCAGCTAATTTTTTCTCTATATATTAGTTGGTCAATTAATTTCTTTCTATTTATAGTAGAGACAGGGTCTCACTCTTTCTCAGGCTAGTTTTGAACTCCTGACCTTGAGCAATCTGCCCACCTCGGCCTCCCAGAGTGCTAGGATAATAGGCGTGAGCCACCGCTCTGGGCCACAACTTTGTCTTTATGGTCTTTTTATTGGTAGTGCAATATCTGTGCAACTTGAATTTAGCATAGTGACAGACAATGCAGAAAGTTCAGGCTAATAGGTTCCCTGTGGCATTATTTTATTTTTTTGTTTTTTTGCATTTTGAAACTGAAATTGTGTGTCCAAACATATGGAACCACTGTTTCAGAAAGGTCTAGGTTTTATTGAGAAACCTGTTATGTGCTGCTCTTTCTGAGGATGTTCATTCCTGTTTGTGGGTCCTAAACTCTCTTTGCCTTACTGCAACAGATCTTTGCCTATATCATAAATTTTGCCAATTCATACCAAGTATTTTGAGATATTTGGATTTTGAATTTGATATAGGTGAGTTGTGATGACACTGTCATGTTGACTTAAAAACAGACTGCAGAATGTTTAGTTTTGGACTTACTGCCTGCTAAAGAAGTTACTCATTTGTATCACCAATAAGTTCATAGTGTAGTCTTATGACAATTATGGAGCAGCTTTGGGAATGATAGGTTTTTGGGTAAGTTCTCTCAGGATTGTGGAGGAACATTTTGATAGATCAGGGAAAAGATTTTATCTCTGACAGATCAAAACATATTCACGTTAAGGTATTAGATAAACTCATGATCCTGGAGGAAAAGAGTGAATAGAGCCTATGTGGTTTGCTTTATTTTAATTTTTTAGTTTCAAAAGTAATTATATAATGCCCCTTAGAATGTTACGTCAAGATTTTTTAGGTTATTTGCTTTTTTTAATGGCCTTTGTGGTCAGTGATCAAGGAAAACTTATAAAAATATTGAGAAGATGAGTACATTACTCCTTTGGAAACTTTATTTAATTGTGGTAAAATACACATAAAATTTGTCATGTTAACCATTTTTAAGTATGTAGTTCAGTGACATTAAGTACATTCACATTTTTGTGTAACCAATCTATTAATATGCTGGAATTTTTTTCACCTTGCAGAACTGAAATGCTGTACCCATTCTGTGGCTGGCTTATTTCACTTAGTATATAATGTCTTCAAGGTTCATCCATGTTATAGCATGTGTCAGAATTTCCTTCCTCTTTAAAGCTGAATAGCATTCCATCTATGTATATACCACTTTTTGTTTAAACATTCATCTGCTGATGGAGACTTGATTTGCTTCCACCTTTTGTTTGAGTCCCTGCGTTCGTTTCTTTTGGATATACCCAGAAGTTGAATTGATTGGTCATATGGTAATTCTATTTTTAAGTTTCTGAGGAGCCACCATACTGTTTTCCATAGCACCATTTTAGATCTCCACAGTGCAGATGGGTTCTGATTTCTCCATATCTTCCACAACACTTGTTATGTTCTGTTTTTGTTTTTTTTTTTTGTGATAGTAGCTGTCTGATGGGTATGAAATGGTATCTCATTGTAGTATTGATTAACATTTCCCTAATAATTAGTAATGTTGAGCATCTTTTTTTTTTTGAGACAGTCTCACTTTGTTGCTTGGGCTAGAGTGCCATGGCATCAGCCGAGCTCACAGCAACCTCAAACTCCTGGGCTCAAGCAATCCTACTGCCTCAGCTTCCCGAGTAGCTGGGACTACAGGCATGCACCACCATGCCCAACTAATTTTTTTTTAATATATATATATTTTTAGTTGTCCAGCAATTTCTTCCTATTTTTTTAGTAGAGATGGCATCTCGCTCTTGCTCAGGCTGGTCTGGAACTCTTGAGCTCAAGCAGTCCTCCCGTCTCCACCTCCCAGAGTGCTAGGATTATAGGCCCACTGTGCTGGGCCCTGATGTTGAGCATCTTTTCATGTGCTTATTTGGTCATGTATCTTTTTTGGAGAAATGTCTATTCAAGTCCTTTGTTCATTTTTTGTTTGTTTGTTTGTTTGTTTGAGACAGAGTCTCACTTTGTTGCCCAGGCTAGAGTGAGTGCTGTGGCATCAGCCTAGCTCACAGCAACCCCAAACTCCTGG